TGTCTGTCAAAGCTTGATTAAACAGAGGGGGAGGAGGTAGGAGGAGGGGGGGAGGGGGGGTTCTGTGATCCAAGGGATGATTCCCTGTCCCGTTGACAACCACAAATGCTCTGACCCCCAGATGCTAGGTGGCTATTTTACGACGCTAATCCGATAGATGTTCACGTTGTGTGAAACGCTGCAATATGCCGCCCAGACGGTGGGCCCGAAAACTGAAAAAAAAGAAAAAAAAAAGAAAAGTGCTTCTGCAAAAGCCTGCTTCCCATTTCCCAGTGGTACGTCATTTTCCCGGGATGCTCCAAAAAGGAAGAGTGCCCTAGATCATCCTGGACGCAGGGGAAGAAATCAGAGGCTCTCAGATGTTTTGGACGGACCAAATGACAAAGACGTCCCACAAAAAAAAAAAAAAAAAAAACTGTGCTGGAGTCGGGCCTCGACGGGCTTGATGTACAGCTTCTCCATCAGCTCCTCTTCTGACCCTGGGTCATCATGTCAGAGCAAACACAAATCACAGACGCAGCCTTTTCCTCTCGGCTTCCTGCGCATATGCGGCGGGCAGATACACAACGCCTCACTCGAAACAGATGCAAACGCGCTCAACACATGCCTGCAAAGCATAAGACATAAACAAAATCAAGGAGAGTTCAATTGCGGAGCGATTACACTCGTGCACATCTGCACACACACACACACACACGTACACACACCACCCCGCTACACTTCTGTAATCCACGCAACGGTGCCATTGCCGTGAGAGGGTTTACTGCAGCACCCACAGGCAGCATTCCTCACTGACAGCTATAAAGAAAGACGCATTACAAAACCATGAGCAGCCATGAGAATCGGGGAAATATTTGGACAGGCAACTCCGCATTCCTTTGTTTCCCCAGTAAAGAGATTACAGGAGTAAAGTGCACGTCGACGGCGCAGTCGGCAGGGGCAGCGGAACGTCTCCCGCGCCACAGTTGTCACATAACGTCAGACGGGAAGAATACGCCGACGAGCTGCCGTGAAACCAAAAGTGCGCGGCGACTGTGAACGAGGCAGACGGCCAAAGGAAACGGAGCGTGATGTGGGAGAGGAGAACTAAATGAGGCAGATCTGAGGACCCGACCAGAAAACCTCAGTGGAACCTAAATACTGCGTGTCGAGGAGAAGGCCTCGGTACTCGTCACTGCGCCTAGCGTACTGCCAAGTTGATGTTGCCACAAGAAGTGGAAGAAAAAACAGATTGTTAGCAGCGTCTGTCCCGCCGACTCATAACCTGGAATCTCGGATTTAGACCAGAGAGTTTCCTCATCATCCCAAATTGTAAATAAATAGGAGGCAGCATCCAGTCAGTACTGTCCTTGGATGATGATGCTGCAGGCGTACACTGCTGGGGGAACTCCCACAGGTCACATCGTATTCCTCTATTTTCATTTCTCTCTAAAAATGTTCCATCCCAGATGGGCAGGTTACTGATCTTTGTAAACGTATTCTGCTCTACTTCGTACATCGACTGTTTCTTCCTTGATTTCTTTCCCATTTTTTCGCCCAATTTTTGACAAAAAACTTAAACCAACGTTAATCAAAAAACTGTGACGTCCATTGAGGCAAAACCTAAAAATAGGTCAGAGAAATAAATTTGACTTGACCTGATTGGACTGTTACCCCCAATCACTAACACAGGGATATTTGGTTTTTCACAATAAAATAATTAAATAATTATGCTGTTATTGATATTTATATTATTTTACTATAATGAAGGAAAGAGTTTTCCCTTCATCCAGTGTCATCACATTACTGGTAATTTGGCAAGGAAAGAGTTTTCCCTTCATCCAGTGTTGTATCACATTACTGGTAATTTGGCAGTTTTTACTTTTATTATTATTATTGTTATTAGCATAATTAGCATTAATAATTATTTTAAATATTATTATATATAAAATAACAATTAACGGTTGCTTTACATTTTAAAGTCAGTCGTGTTCAGATATTTGAAATGACTAGTTTTAATAATTAGTAATTATTTCAGACATGTAATTAGTTTAGTGTCTGCTGTACAATATTCATTATCCAATCACTGCTGAAGGTCGGCCTCAACTGAAGGCCATCCAGACCGACTGTTGTCAGATCAGTCCGACGGTGTCTGTCTATTCAACTCATCCACAGACAGCCTTACTGACGACGCTGCTGCTGCTGCTGTGGTGCAGTGTGTTGCCCTGAGGATGCCTCATCCATCCAGGGGCAGATGTGAGAGCCCACCCATGGCCCGTCGAGCCCTCTGACGCCCATATTCATCAACGGCGTGTCACTTTTACGAGGTGGCTCTGTGGGAACCTGAGAGAGAGAGAGAGAGCCCCCCGCCCCCCCGTCACAGCGCCCCCTCCCTTCGGCTGCACCTAGCGCCAGTCCTGCCAGGCCCGTCTTCAGATGAAATTAAAGGGAAACTTCGTTAAAGGCAGAGGTGGCGTCAGCGGCACGGCCCGTTTGATCAACGTCAGCCTCCGTGTTCAGCACCGTCATTACAGTGAGTGTGGGTCCTCTGGAAATCGAACGCAGGACTCTCCGCTTCTGGGACAGGCATGCTAACCGCTACACTATCTCTCCCCCTTGGGGACAGAAATGTTTTCATGCCCCCCCCCCGCAAATTTAAATACTATTGAGAACCTGAGAACATGTATATTTTTCATCTGTCCAAACCACTGCATGAGGTGCTGCCCCCTAGTGACTGGAGGCTTGTTATCATTCAAGCATTACAGCAGTGGTACCTCACCCCCCCACTGGCACCTCACCGCGCCCCCTCCAGGGCGTCCCGCCCCACTATTTGAGAAGTACTGAATTCTGTTTTTTTTTTTTTTTTTTTTTTACTTCTTGCCAACAACTTCTTCCTCTGAAAAACAAGGTCAAAAACAATCAATTTACTTTATACGGCGACTCCACCGTCTTTTTTTTTACTGCATGAAAACTTCCAGATATGATTTCCCGCGGACAGTGAGCTCAGCCGCTGCCAGTGTGTCTCGCTCCTATAAATCAGACGCTTTTCACAAAATCCTAGGGAGTCGTTTGCAAAACAAAATATGGCTGATAAGAATAATGGTAACTGCAGGGGAAGAAACAGCGAGAGGCTTCAAACACAGGGCTGGTGTCCTGTTTATTTGTCTTCGGTCCAGGTCTCTGTCACGGCCCACACTGTACGTAACAATAGCACAAATTCCATGCACTGAAAGTCATAGTTGGAATTTGTTAGCCGAGCAATAAAAAGAGTGATACCAAGAAGCCCTGATGACTTACTAGAAACGGCTTCTACTAATCAGGCCGTGCAACTTTACAAATGGGGAGCATTAGTGCTATCAGATAGCAGCCGTGCTATCTGTCTGAAACATGCCCAATAACCAAACACTGCTCCGGGCTGTTTGCAATCCATAACACTTGGCTGAAGGATGATCCGCTGGAAATATTTTCTATCCAAACATTACATTTCACGTACGACTGCGAATGCGTACTGACTCGGTTTTGTTAAAGTTATGGCTCCCTACCTTTTCTCCGCCGCATGGAGTTGGTCCTCCTCTGACGCGTGATCCTTTTGAGCTGTAAAAAAAAAAAAAAAAAAGACAGAGTTGGAATTGTTGGAGAATTTATTTGCCACAGAAAATGTTGACACTATTGATAACTGATCCCAGCTACTTAATGAAATCCAGAGAGCAACGAGGGGAAGGAGGAAGGGGGAGGGGGTTGGGTTGGGATTCCCATTTTAAAGGGGGAAATTAAAAAAAAAAAAAAAACAAGTCATGGTTGAGATGTCACCAACACAGTGAGCGCGATATTCAAGTGAAAGCGAAGCACATTGTGACGTTTGACGTTACTCCTCTACGCTGATGACACCTGAGGGTCGGGGCAGGGTGTGAGAGGTCAGATTGAAGAGGTGTGTGTTTGTGTAAGGTGTCCGAGCGCAGTTGAAGCTGGAAGCGGAGAGAGCTCCAGCAGAAAGACTCAGGCAACTGGAGGCTCCCGTGGACTCCTGCCATGTAAAAGTGTCTAAATGCAAGGCAGATGTGTGTGCGGGCCAGGCCGAGGTGCAAGAATTTATCTAGGCCCAGAGAGCGCCTGTGATCTCAGATTTATTGCATTTTTCCAGATTCATCCTTTTTACAATGATGGGGGACCTTTCCTAATAGAAGATTTAAGAGCGGGAAGTCTCCCCAAAAAAAAAAAAACAAAAAAAAAATGGTTTAAAGGCAGGTTCGGGGGTCTTATGGGAGAAGGTGAGCTTACTTGTCTGATCAACAGTTTATTTTTTTTTCTATCCTTTTTTTCCTCCCCTTTTTTTAAAGTTTGTGGGCAAAGCACTGTTTTTTTTTTTTTGTTCTTGTATGAGGTAAACCTAATGACGGAGGGGCATGTCTGGGATAAAGGGGGATAGGGGGGCCGTGACCAATGGTGTTTGTCTCAGTGGGGGTCAGGCTGGCGCCTGAGGTACCCCTATGGTGCGACTGTGCAGAGGTGGCACTGGAGCCAAGAGGCTGGGGAAGGAGAGAGGGTGAGAGAGAGAGGGAGAGAGAAAGAGAGAGAGAGAGAGAGAGGATGTGTGAAGTTTCTTTTCGTCCGCTCTCTCTGTAAACATGAAACCAGTAGTCGCTAACTGGAAAGTTATGAGACGTGCATGCTGAGAGCGACAATAAATTAAGGCTTTAAAAGCCTGACACACTTTTACAAACCCCGGCTTCACCGAGCAGCCAGATAACAAAGACACGCAGAGCCGTCTTTGGGGGATGCTGAGAATTTCAACAAAGCATCACTTTATGATCATCCTCACTGGCACCTTGAAGACTTTTGACCCCCGCGCCCCTCCCTCCAAAAGAGACAAAAGCGAGATTGCTTTTGAATAATCTGAAGAGCGGATTTTTCTTTTTTCTTTTTCGGGAGAACTCGATCTTACTGGTGAATTCCCTCCTGGAACTCGTGATGTGAGACTTTGAGATTAAAAACAGGAATTTGCTTTCAATTAGTCATGGCGTGTTTTCAATGTGAAAAATATGCCCCGTCGGAACATCCCCAGAGGTTTCAAAGAGCTCACACTAACAAGGGAAACGAAAAGGTGGTCGATTAGA